ATATTGTTAAGTAAATAGAGCTTTACTTCTGAACTTCTAGGTGGTGCACATGCTGCTATTCTAGTGTGTCAGTACTTATAAGAAAATGTCTAGGGTGTAATATTAAATCAGGGTCTAAAATTATATTATAAAGAAATCACAGCCTGTAAACTTAGGTTTTTCCCCGACTTTTAGGTAGACCTATCTATCCATATTTTTTTCCAAATTTGGTGTTAAACCTCCTCGTGTATGGGAAATAAACATGTAGCAAACCATTGCCAAGTTGTCTGCATACTTCACAGCCTAATGGGATTTGATGTAGTCACCCAGTCGGATGAAATGCAAATACCGCAATCAGGATTTTATTGTAGGCTAAATAATTAATTAGGTAGGTCGTCTTAAGTGTGAAGTGAACTAGCACTGCAAAGTAGAGGAGAAAAAAGTGATTGTAAACGAAGAAATGAAAAAATGCCCTCTCAGTAAGTGAATCGCATATATATGTCACCATTTAAGCCTTAGCACTCTGATAACTTCTTTTGGTGTCATTCCAAATGGGATTTAAGAGAAGGCAGTCACCATAGTAAAGGCATAGATGAGGTTTTGTTAGATAGGTACTCAGGAAGTCTGGACTCCTGCACTGGCTGCATTGATTTTTCACACAATTCTGTAATCTGAGTGTGTTACTTCATAGCAGTATGGACATGGAGATGTACAAATGTCAATTATTAAGTAGTTAAAACCCACATGAATTTTTCCCTATTTATTTACAAAACTAGGAAAAATTAAATGTTTAGATAATTTTAGATTTATACGAAAGACTTATATTTTATTTGAAGAAAAATATTTTCATAGATGTATGATGGGCCCAGGTCTTAACCAAGTATAAATCATAAAAAAAAGATATTATCCATATTTGTAAATGCTTTGGTAAGAGGATTTCTGATTATTCAGACTGGGAGAAATCAATTAGCCATAGTCTATTGTATATTAGCCAGTGGCTAACCTAAGCACCAGTCCATGAGAGAGTCCACCTGAGCCCTGGGTCAGTTAAGGCCAAAGCGTTTGAACTTAACTTAGAGCGCATTCAGAACAGATGATCCAGGGCCTAACTGATCTGCTAACTCAATATGGCCGATCCCACTTAAAAGCACCGCTGTAAATTCCCTGATGGTCTCCCTGCCTCCACACGTGCCTTTAAAAGGATAAAATCTTGGCACCAATGTTTAATTGCAAGGCCCCTTCAATGACAGCACTTTTGGGAGCCAGGGAGGCCATCAGGGGATTAGTCGATGCTGTTTTTAAGTGAGTCGGCCATATTTAGTCTGCAGATCATCTTGTTCTGAATTCCCTCTTAGGCCGCATTTACAACGAGTTGAGCCATAGCTCTACAAATCCACGAACTAAATATGGCGGACGTACATGAAAGAAAAACCGCCTAATCTTTTAATAGTCTCTCTGCCTCTCACACGCCTCCCCATGTGTCTTCCCAATGGAGCCTAGATTTAATGACTGTACCCCCGCAGGGACGACGCACGGAGAGGCGTGTGAGAGGCGGAGAGACTATTAAAAGATTAGGCCTTTTTTCTTTATGTACCNATATTTAGTTCCTGGATTTGTAGAGCCATGGCTCAACTCGTTGTGAATGCGCTCTTAGACTTTAAATTGGATAACTGATTAGGTAGTGTAGAGTTAGCAGTATTGGTCTAAGAACTTTTTCTGAACAGATGGCCCACAAGAAATATAATTGATATAGGCTGTAACTGTCACCTTTGAAAATTGGCTAGGCATTAAGACAATAACAACATGGTCTAGGGGCTTAACTTAAGAGAATAAAGGGGTTATAGTGGTCATTTAGACTTTTATGAATCATAACTAAGCTGGCTAGTAATCTAAGTGGTCTTTACTGTGACCAACTTATTTTCTGAAACAGACCTCTGTTACAGCAGAGAATCATTTTCCTCTTTGTTGTCTAGTGATTCAGTTCAGGCAGACTATGTCTACAAATCTTAAACTCTGTAGATGATATAAGGTCTTTCATCTTACTGACATCAATTGCAAAGGATTCAGAGGATTAAGAATACCTACAAATTTCTTTCAGTGTGTTTGCATTTCTCATCAAATAGCTCAGTACAACGTTGAATGCTGTTTTTCAGATATAATGTCTTTTTGTAAAAAGATGTTGATTGTTATTTTTAAGTCTAGGACATGATAAGAATATGAAATGAAAGTATGTGTACAATGGCTATAAAACAGGACATTGACCTGTTGGTAATTGTCATCATTTGTGAATAAGGCAAAAAACTTTGGCATAACTCAAATTGAATTTTGTAGGAAATCGAGGAAACCCAACAATGTTATCTGTGGACTTGTGTGCCGACAGAGAAAACTTAAAATGCCGAATATCAGGCTTCTCCTCAAGCTTGTTCCTGACTGTCATTCTGTAAAAAGTCATACACAGGATGTGTAGGGATATCGTCAATGCAGGCCAATCTCGACATGAACTGCTGTAAGATTGGGATTTATTAGATGTGCTTGCACTGAAAGATATCCAACATTAACAAATCTTCCATGAATTACTGCTCTGTGCTTTTATGTCAGTACAGAAGTTGAGACAGTTCATCCACTCCACTAATAGCCTTGGCCTACCATTGCCCATGCCTTGGGGCTTTTCCCACCAGTTTTTAACCAGAAGTATGATTGAAACGTTGACGCGGCATGTACATATGGGTTACATCTCCGTAGATTCTCATTGACTTGTGCAATTTGCTTGAACCTAAAATGTGGTCAGGAGATTGTCTGCCAGGTCGGCGTTATGATATGTAATGCAGATCATCAGAACTGATTGGACTTCATTGGAGATGAGTCATATGGAAGGACAAGGCTTTTGGACTTGAAGACATCACAACAACCAGAAGACCAGGTGTTTTTTTATTTTTTTGCAAAACAATTTTTTATTATTTGTGTCATTTTTGAAAAGACTGCTGGTAAGAGACACACCAGGGAATATGATATGGTACTCATATCATTTAAATGTTGTTGTTTTTTTTATTTTTTCATACTTCAACTGACTTCAGCTAATGAAAGACAATTTGGAAATTGATCTGTATTTCCCAAATTGATTATTCCTGGATATTCTTATTCTTCCATTGATTATTGCAGTAAAAGTGATGCAGGGAAATTGAAAGACTATCCCAGGGTAGACAGGTTATTTCCTATTCTTCAATTGACTACATCAAAAAGGGACACATCAGAAATTGCTGCTTTTCATAAGATAGAGCCTGGTTATTGATTAGATCATCTGTTAAAAAAGTGCTGCTTGTCATTTTTTTCTATCAGGCATGGCAAAAAAACTATGTGGTCACTTTTACTTGGACATTAACTAATTCAAGGATAACTAGGATAAAATGTTGCCTCGTGCTGTAGCAACAGATTCTTCAGAAAAACAGATCTCTGATTCTCTGGCTTGATAGATCTTCAAAAATGCTAAAGAGGTCAATAAGTGTGGAAAAGCCAGTTCAAAAGGACACTTCCCTTGGAGATGATCTTTTTAAGCGCCGCTTACGAAAAACGCACTCCTGTGGTACGCCACTGGAGATTAAAGCGGCAGAGAAAGAGGAAGAAGAAGGCTCTGGAGGTCTTACGCCAAGCAAGTTACATCTTTCCTACAGCTTTGCCTCGTTGTCTCAACTTAGGGTAAGTGTTTTTCATAAAGTATAGTACTTGATTAGATGAAAAAAAGTCTTTCAAATATTGATGCCACAGAAAGGTAAGTATTAACTTTCAAAAAGGTGTGTGTGTGTGTGTGTGTGTGTGTGTGTGTGTGTGTGTGTGTGTGTGTGTGTGTGTGTGTGTGTGTGTGTGTGTGTGTGTGTATTCATGTGCTGTGGATATGTCCATAAAAAAAAAGATGATATATTTTCTTCTTCCAGAATAAAATAAACACAATGAAAACATATCCATAACAATGTATTTTAAAGGCCAAAACTGGAAAATGAAAAAAAAAATGCTATCTCTTCATTTGTCACAAAAGAATGAGTTTGCAGTCTGTTGATAATGAAAAATATATGCTACAGCTAGCTAGTTGCCTGACAGTCATGTCATGTTGTATTAGCTACATTCAATACAAGAATTGATGGCCTTGATGCTGACAGGCAACAATGATAATCATCATGATGAAAAATCAAAACAACAAAATACCAGGGTTTGGGGGGAAAAAAGTGCATTCCCACCTTGCTGAATGATTGTCTTTCCTCAGAATAATTGTTTTATTGTCATTTGACTACTTTTCTGAAAAAAAATTGCTATATTGAATTTTTTTAGATCATGTAATGTAATTCTTTTGAACTGTGGTACCAGATACTAAAACATTGAAAAAGACTGATGTTGTGAGGTAGACTATAACACTACATCATTTACCGTATGTATGGTTTAAGAGAGGAAGTGGTCAGTTATGATCAGAAGAATGAGACAGAGAAATGAATTGATCATAGTTATATTATTGCGTACATATAAAAAAATACAGTGAAAGAAACCTTAACAAAGCTCATGCAAAATAATACAGATATGATATTGTCATTGTGCTTTAGTCACTGTGCTTTAGTCAACCTTATTCCTAACAGATCAGTGTTTCATATCTGCAATATGATACCAAGTATTACCTTTCAGCAACTGCATATCTGTGAAACGATAATCAGTGAATGGTTAATTATAGCACAGTGCTAGTAAGTTGTTTTGTTGACAATGCCGTTGTAAGCCAAAACACAATAACACTTTAAATCCAGCTAGGTCATCCACGGACCTTTACACATCCGGTACAAAAACATCTTCATAATCCCTATTGGTGTATCTGTGGTGCTGTGTGACCTTTTTTATGAAATCTTTGGTTCATTTGAGTGTATGAAAAAGTTGATGTTGATATATCTCCATTGTCTACTGTCTTTGTGTCAGGTTGCTTCAGCATGAGATGTTGAATAACTATATCTGATATGGTATGACCAAAAATGACTTATTTTTCTTTGCAGAAGGAGCTCAGTTTGTCCAAAACTAGTCTGTGTAGGAGGGGGAGGTAAGAAGAAGACATTTTAGAACTCCCAGCAATGAATTGTAGAACTGATGATTAACTTTTGAAAATTGGTTCAGAGAGACAATACCATGTTTGCAGCTCTTTATTAAATCAGTTGCGAGGAACTCAATAATTTTATTATTTGCATTTGTCATATAATTCAATCCATGTGACAATTTGTGAAAGATACTCAACATAGCCATGCATAATTAATTAAACTTTGTACGTTGATGATATTGCATATTCTTTTCGATTTTTTTACACATTGCACATAAGCTTGTAGTCCATTAGCATATTAGATTGAATATTACCTGCGTATTCAACAAGAAAAGTGCTTCAACGTTGCATTTCTAGATGGAGAGATTTTAAGCATGAATGCCTCTATATTTTTCAGTCGGAGTCAATCTCGGAAATCCATTATTGCCAATACCTCCCCTACACTGCCCTTGAGGTGCCATTCTCCACAAAATGTTGGTAAGTAAAACTTGAAAATGGTGTTCATCTCAGAAATGCTTTTGAGAGTTGAGGTATGTGGGTCCTGTAATGGAAGGTAGCTATAATGTGGTCTCACATTTAGAGTTACTTGCTGGAATGATACCATATGTAGGGGAATTTTTACACAGATTTATATTTTGAGTTTTATTTCAGAGGTGTTAGTGGGATTTGATAAAAAGCAGTATGGCTTATTATCACTTTCGTCTTGTACATTTGGAGCTGAAAACCTCGGTAACTTTATTCCTTCTTTTATAGAGTATCTACCTTCTCTACTTATTATGTAACTCGTGAGTAGCGTGGTTTTGTGGTTTTCAGGAGAAAAAATTGAACCATTTTGTGCTTTTTCCTTGCGGTCTTGTTGCCAGTGTGATGTATGGCTTACCTGAAGGAAGATTCTCATGAAAGCCTTTTTTTCTTTATCATTTTATGGATGTTTAACAGATGTCTCTTTTGACATCTGTTTTGTACCAAAATGCATATGGCTTGTATGCTGTCACTTGACAACAAGTTACCAGAAACCTAAATCTATCGCACAAGTGTTGTATTTATATAATTTCAGCATGATTGTGCATTCTTGTAATCTGCAGTGTAAAATCAATCTAATCCAGCCTTCGCCACAAACATTTGGATAGAAATCTCTTCCTAATCCGAAGTTTCAAAAATCTGGCTTAACTCACACGTCATCATGCTGCAGCCATTGTTTTGACTGCACTAGTATTTAAGTTGGATTTGCATTCAGAACATGCTTGACAGTCAACATGACGAGGCCAGAATGATGGATGTTGTATCAGTTTCCTACCTGGGTTTTCTTTTATTGGATCATTATACTGAACGAGTTGAGGTTTACAAGGAGTTCTAGTTTATGTGGTCTCTCCCCACGTTCAGTGAACATATAGAGAAAACTATTTATCAGCTGAGGAGTGAGTATGAACTAGGTGGAGATTAAGCAGTATGCTGCAAGGTGTGCAACTAATAATTGGAGGACACTCGAGACAAGTTATGTTAAGAGACGAGACTCCTTTTTATAGTTCTTTCTTTGGAAGAAAAGATTGGAAGCCAATAACAAGCAGGAGAAGGAGAAAGGTTTTTCTTTTACGCACCCCTACAAAAGGTAAATGACACGTAGGTAATTCACATGTCCAGGGGGTGAGGTGTAAGGGCGGCACAGTGGGTCAGGTGCCACCCCTCTTAGCTTTTAAGGTACCTCTTCTCCTTATCTCTCTCTCTTGAAAATATATAACAAGGGGAGTGAGACTTAGGAATTTTTCTGTCCCTGTGGTCAATTTATTGTCTTCATCTACTTTTTTTTATTTACCTTGCTTCACACAAAAAAAAAATGTTTTAGCCTTGTGTCTGCCATTAGCAAAATCCTTGACCCGCCAGTGAGGTCTGCATGTAGTTAAAATATCTTGGGGTATTTGTCAGGTCTTGTTGTAGTTTACTGATCTTAGTTTAGCACACAGGTGTTTGTGTGGTTAAAAGATTCTCTGTGTAGTTTGCAGGTCTCTGTATTGTTTGTCAGTCTCCCTGCAGGAAGTTAGATAACGGTGCATATGGTGCCGTGACAGTGTTGCCCTTGCTGCAGGTGATTAGTGAGGAAGGAGATAGGTGTATGAATGATCGCCTGGCAGTGTCTTTTATCTGGTGGGACTTAATGGGTTTGTTGTGTGATGGCATTGTGTGATTGTGCTGTGTTATGAGGAAATGTATTGACGGATGTTGTCCTATGGAAGATTTGGTTAGTTTGAGTTTGGAATTGCTGTAACTTTGGTTCATATTTGTATGTGCAGAGAGAGGAGATGTTCACTATCACTTTTTAATTTGAAGAACAACTTTTTAATTTGAAGAATGTTGAGGGACACAAATTTGGCATACTAAGAAGAATATTAATTACATGAATGCCAATGGTGAATTAATGTCTAAGCAACTAATTTTTCCTTTTTCAGTATAATTTTAGTATCTATAAAAATGCCACCTAATGGTTTTTGCACATGCCATGTTTAATTGCATAGAGATGTGCGAGTAATATGATTTTATAATGTGAGATTTCACTATATTCAGAATCCGATAAAACCTCATGCCTGCATCCATTAGTACTGTTAAGAGCCTTTGAAGTTACATGACTTTAATGCAAGAGACGTGTAAAAACTTTGACAACACAAGGAAGGAAGGAAGCACGTTATTTCTTATTTTCACCACCCCCATTAAAGAAGGAATTGATATATGACTTAACATATATCTTTTTTTTTCTTTCAAACAGGAAGTCCACTTGATAGTCCACGCACAATGTCTCCTAGTCAACATGGACACTTTCCATTTGGCCCTGGGAAGAGGTGAGCTGTAACACATTAAAATTGAATTCACACAAATGCTGTTTTAGACAGAAAGTAGCCCAAAACCCTTTTATTATTTTGTTTCCTGAGACAAAGTAATGTATTTTTAATTAGTATTATGGTTGTCTTATGAAACACTTTAGGCCATCTGGATATATTTTAGCCCAACCAAATCAAAGAGTGCATCATAGGATTAATTTTGATAATTGGAATGATATAAACCTTCAGGATTTTTTTAACAACATCTTATGATTATCTTTTTTTTTTTAATGGTGATTTATAGATGGTTGATTTTCTTGTGTAAAAATTTACTAGCTTAGTCTAGCTTTGAACTGAAAGGGCATGTTCATGCAGTGTTTTCTGTCAAAATCTTTGCCAAGCATACATGCATATATTGACCCAGAGGAAGCTTTCACAAAAGTCAGCTGTGGGCATACTGGCACAGATATGTTAACGTGTCCATTGTCATTATCAGTGAAAAACCATGAAAATTTGAAACCATTTTCCACTTCAACTCATTGATTCTAGACATTGATTTTTCCAAAGGCTACCTGCAGGTCATGATGAGTGTGTAAGGTGAAACAAATACCCTTCTCCCTAGATTCAGATATTTTAATGGGGTTATATAGATAGAGTTTAGATAATTCAGTAACAATTTCGTTATTCACTTCTAAGTCATTTCAGTGGTTATTGCCTCTATTTTATTTAGTCGTGAAGGTGGGCGTCGATGGTCGTTTGCCAGCTTACCTTCCTCTGGCTACGGCACAAACACACCTGGGAGCTCCAATGTGTCTGTGAGTATCAAATCAGCTCAAAAATGCCAACCCTGAGAAACAACTCGAGTCATATGTTCACTATTTTTTTTAAAGCAATCTTTACAGTTTTCACCTTTGCATTATCTTTTTAAAAAAAAATAGTGGTTGTTTGAATGAGTAGCATCATTGTATTTTTATTGTTTATATATTATTATTATTATTATTATTATTATTATTATTATTATTATTATTATTATTATTAAAGTGAAGTAACCTTCAAATGATCAATATATATCAAATTAGGCAAAGTGTTGTAATTGCGTCTCCTTAATGCCATCCATGTTAGAAGTCATCCACAATATTTTATTGATCTGTATTATCCACAATCAGAAGTAACAGTGTATTCTGCATCATATAGGTATTTACACAGCTATATAAACAAATGTCTCAGCTTGTCTGTAACATTGAATCCATGAATACTGTTGTGATTTCGTAAATTGGACTTGAAAAGTACAACCTAGAGATAAAGCTACAGCATAAAGCAGCTCTTGAGATTATGGAAAAGGAAAACAGACATGAAAAGTTGAGATAGATAAATAGATTTTAAAATGCTTAAGATCAAGAATTTTAGTGTTTGATGAAAAAAAAATAGGCTGTCTGAGTCATTAGTATGGTCTGTACTTTCTCTGGCATTTGGTGATACCCCCATTACCAAGTCACAAAGACATACATCATACTTAAAGTTGCATTTAATGTAATTCAGCTCCATAGAAATGCTATTTTCAGGTTGATGTGCTTTTTGAAATAGAAACAAAACTTCAATTTTAGAGCTCCCTTTCCTATAGCCAAGTTCAGCCGACTTGGTTATGATTCAGAAATCAAATTAAAAAAAATCCTTTGCTTATTTATTTATTCTTTGCATAAAATCTTGATTTGAGCAAAACTTGTTTTCCTAGCATCAGACAACAGATGCTACTGTTTACTCCAAATACAAGTTTTTTTTTAAATTCATTTAGGTGACGCTCAAAATGAAACAATTTTCAGAATACGGGTAATTTTATTAAGTGTTAGGATTTACATTAAAAAAATACTGCAATATTTTAGCTAAAGAATTCACTAGTTTTCATTTATTTATAAGTCACAGTGTTCCTCCCAAGAGAAATTGCATCAGTTGCCATATCAACCCACTGACAGAGAACTCCAGATGCTCACCAAACATTTTGACAGCAGTGAAAACATTGCAGAGGCAGAAGATGATGGCAGACTATCACCTGTAATAAGGCCTAGGTCACGCAGCCTAAGGTAGGGAAATTAAACACTTTATTTACATTTAACTTCAGTGTCAAGATGAAAATTTTGAAACTTAATCTTTTTTTTTTTTTTTTTTTCGCATGTTTTAGGCAATTTCTTGATATCATTTTTCCCCATTACCAATTAGGGACAGTTGTGCCATTATGCTAGGATTTTGTCATGTATAGCGTTAATCTTATTGGAATTATCAATATGAAGTTGATTGGATATTAGATTCAAAGTGTGGTTTAAGAAAATTGATTTTGATTGAAGTCCTGGATTAAGGAAAGATTTTGATATTTTCACTTTGATCAGACGGAGTATGAGGTAGGAAGCTGCACAGAAGGTTGCATGCCAGTACATACACATGCACTCACTGTTGACTCAAATCTGTAGTAGTTAATAGTTCTTTCACATCTTAAAACACGTAGGAACGAAATTATATTCAACATGCTAACTTTTTTATATGTTGTTCATAAATCACTTAATTCCATACAATTTTGTTCAATAATCAAAGCAAATGCACATGCAGTTTATTTTTTTGAAATGAAAGTGCTGTATAATGTTGATTGAGATGTCACTGTTTCTTTGCATTTGAAAAGCCTATCTTGGCTGGCATTAGAGTAAGAGCTACGTATGTTCTTTTCAGTGTATAGGAATGTTTTCTATTGCTATGAAAATACTTTATAAGCTTCTTCTACTTTTTTCCACTTGTGATGATTGGTTTAGCAATTTTGGCAGTATATTCCAGTATGCTATCTTGTTCACAATATTTGTGTTTGTCACTGATCAGCAGTAGTTGCACAGTGTAAAGGCAACATGGTAATTGTCTATAGTTTGACACCATGGAGCATTCAGAAATGGAAAAACTTTTCTATAAAAATAGTAAGGCTTGGGCAATTTAAATAAAAGCTATACATTAGTCTGAATTGTATAGCTTTGAGATCTATTACATTTTTTTATGGCAAGTAATATTTTTTCACAACTGTGTTGGTTGTATTGTAATTGATGCATGGCAATTTTACAATTATAACTGCAGTCTGTTTGCTTGTATCTTGTTTGAAATTTTATATAGAAAGAAATTCTTTTTGTGTTGCGTTGAAGTATTACTTTGCCAGAAGATAACTTGCACGCCATTTCTCTGAATGTGAAACATAGTAATGTAGTTACATATGTCACAGCTTTAACATATTCTTCTTTTTCTTACTTCCTAACCGAGTTAAGACCATAATATGATCACACGCCATTGACTTTTCCATCACTAGCCATCAGACTAGCATGTACACGATAGCATTCATCTATCACTGTTTGACAGTGTTACTGCTGTGCTGGCATTGTTAAAAAAGGATTTGTTTTCTCCTGTTACAGTAGTCCTGCCAAGTCTCCCGGGATGGAATCGGACATTATGATGATGAATACTGTCTACAAAGATCGGTTTCCAAATGTAAGCCACTGTGCGCAGAACTGTGCATTTATCTTGATCATTTCTCTGGAGAAATCACCATTTCCTGCTGATTTGTTTTCACCATTGGGCCAGAATTACTTGAACACAGAAAAGTCCCTAAAGCTTTGCTCCTTAAAGATGTAAAAATTGTCTCACAGACATGATAAAATTATTTAGAAAAAGAACTGTTGGTGTTAAAATTAATTGAACTTTGTTGGTTTTTTCATGTTGTATTAAAAAATGATGTAAACTGATTTTTTGATATTCAACAGGCAAAGATTGAAATGGAGGAGCGACTGGATCGTTTCATTGAAGACAACAAAGTACTAGCTTGTAGCGAGGAGTCTGATGGGACAGCAAGGTTTGTTCACCATCAGATCCTGGAACTGGCACGGGACTGTTTAGAAAAATCTCAGGAACAAGTGATCTCGGTGAACTATTTCATTGAATTATCGGAAAATTTACAGACTCTACTGAATGATGTAAGTAGAAGAAGCACTTGTTTTGTAGTTGGGGGGGAGGATAATGTTCCTGATCTAGTGTCATTGTCTGAAAGTTTTTGTAAATAGAAAGCATGACTAGGATGAATGTTTCAAAAGGGAATTGATTTTACAAAACGGGACCAAACAAGATATCATTAATGAAATTGATTGCAGTCTTAGCAATATCATCATTCATGTTAATCATTAGCTAGTAATGTCTTTGGTACATTAATTTAGAATATCAAAAGAATTGTCGAGTTACTTCTATCATAGCCATTAGAATAACAAACACACATCACATGCAAGGACAGGAAATGTTTTTTTAGCATTCATGTGTTGTTTCATTTTAGTCAAGGGAACGTTCCCCTCATGCTGCAGAACACGCAGACCCAATGGTGAACAGGCTTCTAATTATAATCTCCAGGCCAGCCAGGCTACTGGAATGCTTGGTAAGGGGTCATATTGATTGGGTCATCATGAAGAAAAATTTAAGTCAAGATGATTCTGGGGGAAGAGAGAGACAATAACATACAACAAGCCTTCTTTGATCAATATTTGTAATAGTCTACTTCTGATGTATTAAAATGTTGGCATTCATCATCTAGTTCTATGAATTGTGATTATCAGCTTTTTTTTTAGTTCCAAGAGTGACAGTGTGATTATTTTGAGATTATTGCTTTTTCTAAACCACCAGTAAAAAAGTCAAAAGTCTTAAGTGAATAGCTGATAATGGCTTTTGTCTTGTAGGAATTTGACCCTGAGGAGTTCTACCATTTACTGGAGGCAGCAGAAGGACAGGCCAGGCAGGTGATACAGACTGACATACCACAGTATATAGTCAACAAACTGGGCCTCAACAGAGACCCTCTTGCAGGTCTGTGAATCCATTACCTTATACCTGTTTCAAGCAGTGTGGGCTATAGAAACTTTGGTTGTTATTTATATCCAGACAACAATAATGAATTGTCCTTATCAGTTTTAAGTGTCTTTTTAATTACAATTTTAGTATTTATTTTAATAGGGCTTTATAGGAGGATAAGTGGAAATGAAGCTACAAATCATTTAGAAAAAAATTTTATTTATTATTATATTTTTTTATTCATATTCAGTCATCGTATATGGATTCATCATTGGTATTTCTGTATAGATTATATAAGTCCTTGCGCACGAGTTTGAAATGTTCATCATTCTTCCATTGTATTGGTCTGGTGTTTATTTGCACTGGTGGGTTAAAGGACAACTCTTTTGCCCACTTATATGATTATTAATAGCTTTATTTTAAAATAATTTTGTCATGTTTTCATCCCCGTTCAGATATGAATGACATAGAGCTAAGTGCCAAAGAATTCACAGCAGAAGATAAGGATGATGAAAGTGAGAGAGAGGGAAAAGATGAAGAGAGAACTGGAGATGATGATCAAGATGGAAGCGAAGAAGTAAACAAGCCATTTTTTTCTTTGGTTATAAAAAAATTAAGCAAATTATATAAGATTCGACCTAATCAACATTTTCTGCATGTTTTCCTGAAAAACAGAAGTTTGATTCCCCTATATTTGCTGAAATGGTTTTCAGCTTTATAAAGTATACAGATATTTTGGAAAATAATATTTAAATGTTAAAATTGTTCAATTTAAAACATATGGTCAACTTAATGTGAGGCATCTTTTTGCAGTATGTGGAAGAAACAGAACCCAAAGAGGCCAAACCTCCATGTGAGGATGACTTTGAGACTATCAAACTCATTAGCAATGGTGCTTATGGGTGAGTTCGATAACTGTATATTGTCTGAGAGAACAGTAACTTGATTTTGATTAGATGTATATTTTTATGATATATTTTTTAAAAAATTGTTCTTCTCTGATTTTCTTTAGAAATAATTCTCTTTAGAAATAATAGAGATTGTATGTACAAAAAAATGAAAATATATCTATTTTTACCTTTGAAAAATGTGCAGTTTTAAATTTGGCCTTACGTGTACATTTTCCTGTGCAGCTTTTTTAAATTTCTCTAATTTGCTTTTCCAGTGCTGTGTTCTTGGTTCGGCATCGAGAGACAAGGCAACGCTTTGCATTGAAGAAAGTTCTCAAGCACAATCTAGTCCTACGTAATCAAGTAGAACAAGCATTTGCAGAGAGGGACATCTTGACCTTCACAGATAATCCCTTTGTTGTCAGTCTCTACTGTACATTTGAAACTAAGGTAAAAAAAAAATGCATACTAAAATTGCTTTTGATAAAAATCAATATTTCAGAGTAATGGAAATATCTTCAGGCTCATTGGGTAATTGGTTGAATTATGCAGTAAGAATGTATTACAAATGATGTTTACCTGGATATTTTGATTTAATCAACATGATGATCAGTTTTTTTCCCAGAATTATAATATTTGCTGGTTCTTCTTTTAAAGATAAATCACTCATTTCCACTTCAGAAATACTTGTGTATGGTGCTAGAATATGTTGAAGGTGGAGATTGTGCCACGCTGTTGAAGAACATGGGGCCATTGCCAACTGATATGGCAAGGTAAGGGTTTCCCTTTTCATATTTAATATGTGTTTGTGTTTCCATGCAACTGAAGGTTCATAGAATGGTAACTGGAATAAGCAAAAAAAAAAAAAAAAAAACGAAGTCATGGGATTCCTTTGTAACATATAACATTTCGTCTGTGCTTTCTATTTTTTTACGTATACCTTGAAATAAACTTTGGCAACATCAGTGCTGTAGATAATTATATAGACTTTTTACTTAGCATTTTGACAATACATTACTTTCCAGCTTTGCTTAAGTTAGATAGTTTTAGATATTCATTACCACTTGTTGTCATGAAGCAATGATTTTATAATCTGTTTGCAGGTTGTACTTTGCTGAGACAGTGTTAGCATTAGAGTATCTTCATAGCTATGGCATAGTACATCGAGATCTCAAACCAGACAAGTAAGTCACTTCATGTTTCTTTGTATTCTTTGCTAGTGATATTTTTAGATTTTAAAAAGCAGTATTCACTGATCACTTTTTAAAAAGTTTTATGGGTTTGAATAAATATATTGACTCATCAAGAATTGAAAATATTATGTTAAATAAAGAAGATACACTCTAGCTGCCTGTACAGTTGCGACTGAGTTTTGATGTCACAATCTATTTTCCAGTTTGCTCATCACATCAACAGGACATATCAAACTTACTGACTTTGGTCTCTCCAAGATTGGATTGATGAATTGTAAGTTGAGATGCACGTATATATGAAATGCGTAGCTGAGTAATGCCTTCAGTTAATGAAAAAGCGAATAACATACTTTGTAATATGAAAATGAACAGGTTTTTGAATTAATAAAAATAAACCAGTATTGTACAATTTTAGTCCCATATAATGTAGTGAACTTTCAGACTTCTATCTCTATATTATTGAATTAAGGAACCATAAAACGAATCAGTCTGGTCCAATCATAGTGATGTCAGCCTCAGTATCCTGTCATTATTTTCCAGTGACCACCAACATGTATGAGGGTTCCATAGACAAGGAGTCCAAGCAGTTCAAGGACAAGCAGGTGTTTGGGACCCCAGAGTACATAGCTCCAGAGGTCATCCTGAGGAAGGGCTATGGGAAGCCTGTGGACTGGTGGTCCATGGGGGTCATACTGTACGAGTTCCTGGTGGGCTGTGTGCCTTTCTTTGGGGACACAACTGAGGAATTATTCTCACAGGTTATCAATGGTAGGTTGCTTCTTTTTTTTTTTTTTTTTTCTTCGTAAATGGTACTTAATTCATGCTGCCTTTGATATCCTTTCAATTTTGAACACAATTCACAGATGATGCTTTTTATTGAAATTCAAGAAGTAATTACAGTAAACTGTTTTCTTCAGATTCCGCTACAGACACAATTAAAAAAGGAGCAGTTAACTGATCATTTTACATGCAGTGATCTCCAGTGGACCATAACTGACCAGTACATTTTACATTTTATTCTTTGCAGTGGACATAGAGTGGCCAGAGGAGGAAGAGTACTCCGTTGACGAAGACTCCAAGAATCTCATCATTTCTCTTCTACAGCAGAACCCCATAGATCGCCTGGGGACAGGGGGTGCACATGAAGTGCGGGAGCACGTGTTCTTCTTGGGTTTAGATTGGGATGGTCTGCTAAGACAGAAAGCAGAGTTCATCCCTCAGTTGGATAGTGAAGAGGACACAAGTTACTTTGACAGTGAGTTATTACCACATTTTTTTCAAGCTGTCAAAAATAGTAAGAAAGTTTGTGCAGTAGTTATTCTACTAAAATATTTCAAAGTGCAGTATACCTTACTTTGTGAAATTTGGAATTGTGTCTTTAAAAACATACCTTTGTGTTTTCCTTTAGCCCGTGTAGACAGATATAATCATGACTTGGAGGACACAGAAGATGATGCAGATGACATCATGTTTCACAGCTTTTCCTCCATGTCACCAAGATACAGCAAAGTGTATGGAAAGTTTGCACAGATGAGAGAGGTGAGGTGAAAGAACAATGTAGGAAAAATTGTGTTACAGTTACTGATATGTATATAACTATTACATACAGTAAACATAATACTAGGAAATGACCAGCTTAGAGAAATAGAGCTGCTGCAATGCATGGCAACTCAAAAACAATGAGTTGTGAAAAAGGAGGGAATGGATTTTTTCTCAATCCTTGCTGAAAGACCTTTTTTTCATAAACCATTACAGAATATGTTAAAACTTTATTTTCAATTACAGAGAAAGAGACAAGAAGAGAAGGCGAGGTCAAACAGCATGAGTGCTGTCCCTGATAACACAGACAAAGATGTGCTTGGCAGGAAGAATTCAAACATTTCCGAGTGCTCAACAAGTTCTGTGGAGACTCCATCCAACTCCCAGAGGAACAGTATCTCAGACCTAGAGAAAGAAGTGCCAACTCTTGCTCTCTCCATCAAGGTGGATGAGGAAGTCTTCAGTTCTCCTGAAGTGTAAGTTGAGGACCCAGTGCCTCAGTTAGATTGATTTTTATATAATAATAGGTTGAAAAGAGATTGTTTGTGAGCATTTAACTTTGTATTTCTTAATTAGCTATGAGACCACACATCCATATCCCTTATTTTCATTATATCTTAGACTATTTAGTTCATGCTGCTGAGATGTACATGTCTGCTGCTAATAACCCCCATGAAGAATACTGCATCTTGCATTCTGATGTCTTAATTGTTTATGATTTTATTTTATGTTTGAGGTAGATGATTACCAGTTTATTCTGTATTTCAGTACACCAAGGTCTATTGCCAGTAACAGCACCCCCGAGTCTTCACAGTGTGAAAGTGACACCCTGTCCCCCATCATGAGCAGAAAGAAGAGTACCCCTAAAGCTGTGAAAACAGACCCCATCCCTCTCTTCTCCATCTCTGCAGAGGAGGAGGAAGAGGAGCATGGTAAAATACATGATACTGGTGATGAGCCAAAGAAAGAAGGAAAGAAGCCCATTCATATCAAGCCTAAGAGGCCTGAAGTGAAAAAGAAAGGTAATATGATGCGGTTGCATAATGGGAAGTTATTTTTTAAAAGTATATACAAGTCATGAGACAAGTTCAGTCATTGTATCTGTAAAGGATATTACATTTTGTGTTGCTTGACATGGGTCTGATATAAACTACGCATATAATAGATAAATTATTTCTAATAGAGGTGCCTTGTGAGACATTAAAATTATGGAGTGGTATAACTTTATAACTTTAAGTGCACAACACAGCTGATAATATTCTTTGCAGCATATCTATGTAAGATATCGACTTTGCACATTATCATTCCTTAATTTCACTTGTCACAACTTTTTTGTCCATAACAATAAAGATAACGAACGGATGTTCAGTGAACAACTCTGTGTAGCATGGATATTGCTTTGTATCACCATGTTTCAGCTATATTTGCTTTTGATATGTATTACTGATAACATATTAAAATGCCATTTATGTTGTAATACTACAATCATGTGCATAAGTTATTGTATACTATGTCTTTTCTTTTGATACAATTTCTGAATATAGTCTTTCAGGTATAACCTTGAGTTTCAGTCCAGACAATTTTTAGCTTCCTATTACACATTGTTTCAAAGGCTTTAGTTATTGTTTTAGGAATGCATTTGTAACTGTATCAAAACCTATCCAATCTTTTGGTAAATCCTGTTGCTTTGTCCACACATTCTAGAACCCACCTTCACCCCACCAGAGGTCATGGCAGATGCCCAAGAGGAGCCTAAACCCAAAGGTTATCTTCAAGTGGATCTATCTGAAGGCCCTCCAAGGTCGACATCACCACGATTGACCTTCAAACCCATGCACAAATCTGCCTCTGCTAATGCTCTTTCTCTTCATATACCTGCTGCAGGTGATTACTTTTATTTTGTCCATAAGATCAAGGCATGCTATTTATCTGCACATAAAACTCTTAAGAATTGTGATAATTTTGCTTTTGCTGTTTTAATTTAATGTTCATTGGGTTTAATTTTAGAATAATGAGTTTGATATGGTCATATTTATTTAACAGGTTTCTTGTCATCCTGAAAAATAATTTTATACAATAACTTAATTCTTATTTATTCATAATGTTGCATGCTTATTCATATTAATGTTTTGTGTAAACACATTTGCTGAAATGTTTTGACCTTATATGTTTTGCTTTTATGTACAGTTAATTTTTTCTGCACTAAGACCTGCACTGATTACATATTTTTTCATGTGCAAATTACATTTGCATGATTTCTTAAGTGATAACAAGACACCTTGCCTTTTGCAGTTGCACCAGCTGGTATTGCACTCCTCTCAGCTTGTCCCAACCATTCTATATCATCATGAATTTTTTTTTTGTTTTTGTTTTACAGAGGAGTTGGTTTCTCAGCCAATCAGTTCTCCGGGCTCAAGCAGCTCAAGAGATGCCTCCCCTTCACGTGATATGTTGCCTGTGATTGGTCCTTTGCGTCCTGCATTTATAATCAGAAGAAGCCCTAGAGGATATGGTTTTACTCCAAAAGCCATCAGGGTTTATCATGGAGATACTGACATCTACACTCTACATCACTTGGTAGTGGTAAGTATTCAAGTTCTTTTGCATGCATATTTAGCCAGATGGAGGTTCAGGATGTACGAATATGTCTTTGCTTATGTCACAACTCTCTGTTTAGTAAATTGGTGGGAAATCATTATTTCAACTGCTGTCCTTCAATTTATAATAGAAATCTTGAATATCATTTTCCCAACTTAAATTTTCTCATTTTTATCTGCTAGGCATTATGCTGTAGTGTTAGAAAATAAGTGGATGTATTATGTATAATATCATCTTAAGAGTTTCATTTTTTTCATCCAAAGAGCAAAGAGCAGTTGAAAATTTCTATAGGTACAGGTAATTTAACATCCTTTGCCTTGTTCTCTTTTGGGTGAAAAAATTGATCTCTTAAGACGATATTCTGTAGTGTTGTTTTTTATATGTATTTAAAAAGTGTTTCTCTTATTCTTGCAGCATGTGGATGACAATGGCCCAGCCTATGAAGCAGGTCTTAGACCAGGAAACTTAATTACCCATGTAAATACAGAGTGTGTAGTTGGCATGTTACATGTACAAGTGATAAAACTCATTTTGAAAGACCCTTCAAGGGTTTCACTGAGGGTCACTCCCCTGGACAACACAACCATCAAAACTGGTGGTCGTTATAGGGCACCTCATGAGGGAAAAATGACTCGAAGAAGTTACAAGAAAAAGCATCAAAGGGAAAGGAGTGGAGATTCTCACCACAGGAAACGAGGCAGAACTTCCTTATTCCGCCGCCTCAGCACAAAGAGAGCTCAAGAACAGAACATAAACTCTCCTATTACACCAAGTAAAACTTTTGGCTGTACATTGAACAGGTCTTTGTCATCAGGAGATAGTATGCCTAATTCTCCAACAAGATCAAAATCTCCCCGGTCTCCACCTATTGGGAGAGTCTATGTTGGGGCAGGTGGTGACTCTGTTGGGAATACATCTCAGAGCAGCTCATCTGGCTCTAGTGTACCTAACTCACCTGCCTCCTCATCACAGTTTAACAGACCAAGCTCACTTCACGGACTCAAACACAAACTGGCAGCAGCGAAGTCACCACACAGAAGAAAATCTGTACATAATATCCCACTCTCGCCATTAGCGCGTACACCTTCTCCATCACCTATGGCATTGTCGCCGACACGAAGTCCAAGCCCTCTGACTGTGGTTCATGGTCACCACCAAGCTGGTAGTTCTAACACTACCCAGACGTATCCCACATATCTGAACAGTAGTCCTATTGCTACTTGTTCTCTGTCTAAGAAGACTCTCACAAGACCTAAGAGTACAGAACCTGGACAGGGGTCGCCAGCACTGCCTCGGCGGGGGGCATCCCCAGACAGGCTGCATCCGAGTGCAGCTAAGCAAACTAAAGAAAAACAGTCTTTGAACAGAAAGAGCTCTTGGCATGAGAAACGAGAGTATTTTGAATCTCTCTGATATTGGTCAGTTATTTTGCATTTCAGTTTTAACAATATACCGGGTAAGATACAAGTGTACTACGTGGCTTAATAAGTATTGACCTGGTGGTGAACCTATACAGATGTAGAATGTTTCTTCAAAACTATCCAATTGTTTTAGCCTAGAAACTAGAGATCAGCCAAGAAATGAAAGTGTCCTCACTAAGTGTTTGAAAATGATACTTGTGCAAATTTGTTTCTGATTCAATGTTGCCGTGTACATGCTTATAGTAAGTCTGGATACCTACAGAATACATGATGAATTGCATGCCATGGACAGAATCAGACTTTTGTGGTAATGAATTGTGTGAATTCCATATTTTAAATAATGTGACCAGACTTTCTTGGCATATTTGTATATTTAAATGGCTTTATCTACCAGCCTGTTGCACTTGGCATTCTGTATGAGTAAATATAAGTCGGCAAGAACTGGGACTTAAAAAGTAGATGTTACAATGAAACGTCTGTTTTCCTGTGTGGGTTCTAGGAGAAGGAGCCTTTCTTATCTGATGTGACTTGAAAACCCTACATAATAAATATCGACGCCAGAATAGTAAATGCAATTCTCTATTAAGTGCTTTTGCAAGTTGGTAAATTGTAGCATTTTCTTTGTACACCAAATAATACTTGTCAATATATATCATAGCATTGTAAATTATGATAAAGTCATTATGACTTTTTAAGCATAAAATACTTTCGGTTTTGAGAGTTGACACAAGCTTAGGTATGCTATTTGTGTTTACATGCATGTAACATTTTGCAAGGGACAATTTTGCTGGAGTGGACAGATGTAAAGGGGGATTGGTTCTTAGATCTTTGAAATAAATATACCTGATAAAGTAACTAATGAAACTGTTACTGGCGGAGTAACTTATTGTATAAGATCATGCTGTTTTTGAGCCGTAACCGCTGACATTTTACAGCAAAAGTTCAAGGGGTGTTTGGTTTCACATTATTTTTGGATGGCACGCGTAGATCCGACAGTTTTAGTCATGACAGATCGTTAGACTAATTATGTATGAATCACGGAATGAAACATTTACTATCATTATCACCCTGATGGCAACTAATTGCAAGAAAATGTGAAGTTCTTTCTGCGTAAAGAACGCTAAATCTGCCATGAAACTGTAGTAGGAAAAACATATGTTCCGTCCAGCATGTGGCAGAAACGAGCTAAATTGATGGCAATGTAACGGAGTTGCTATTAGATTTACAAGAAAACGGAGCATGGTTATTTATAGTATTGTATTTTAAGGAATTTTTTTCTTGAATAATGTGTTACTTCAATTTGTACAGCAACTATGTTGAAAATTTGTAATTATTTGTACAGCACAGCTTTAGGTATTGGACATTCCACCCATACGTGTATGTTTGAGAGCGCATGTGCAAACGGATTTCAGGAGTTTAATGTCAATAAAATTACTGAATGTATAATGTCCGGTTTTGCGTTTTGTAACATATAACAAACCTGAAATAACCATAACACCCGCCTTGTTGAATATCAAATTCAATAAAGTAAATTCTTATTTTTACCTTGTAATGCAGAGAATTAAGATTATGCTGGATATTGCGCTATTTACCTCTTATTCACTGTTCAGCAATGGTAGGATTTTTATATTTTCCGATGAGTTTGTGCACACTGAGGAGTATACTACGTTTTGGCCTCACCAAAAAGTAGCTCCATTTTAGCGGCAAGTCTCCGTGAAGAGAAATGCTTTCTTTTCCAGCATATTAACTCAGTGTTTTGAAAACACCCATAAACAGACAAAAGATTTCGTTCGAACGACCCTACAAAGCGCTTTCATGATTACTGTTTTAAAAAGCAAACTGAATTCCTCAGTGTACATGTCAATATGTTCATATGAAATATTAATCCCCGAACGTAAAATGAACCAAAATTTTTCCAGTAAACAAATATATTACCCATTCTTCACGTCAAGTATTTATAAAAGTTTTGGGCACATTATACATGTACGTATATTATGAGAATTGTAGATCAATTTTCAGTATGCCAATTTGAAGCTTTAGAGAATATTTCGTTATAGTTCACCTGGAGAAAGGCTGCAACAGGTGTGGAAGTCGCTTTTGCGTTATCATATTGCTTCTTCTTTTGGATTCATGCCCACGCTTTAAAAACATACATCAACGGGCAGAATAACACGCTTTGGCAGAATTTTAAAATATGTTGGATTGCATATATACTCGTTAAATACTAGAATAAAGAATACCTGAAAATTAGTATACAATTCGCAATTCCAGGAGCTATACAAAATGATAAGGCATGCTTTTTATTCGAAACAGGTCCAGCCACTTGAATAAATAAAAAACGAGGAAAAACCGTGCTTATTATTGATTCCTAACGGTTTTTGCAGACATCATTCCAACTCAGTTTCACGTTTGACCTAGATGTAAACTTAGATGTACAGAGTTGTTTCCAGATTAGTCCATCCTGCAGTAGCACACAACATGAAAGACATTCTGAAATGCTCTGGAATATCGGACTCGGTATAAAACATTCATGTTTCGCTATGTGATACCGCGAAATAGCAACGCAATTTGCAATTTTCTCTGCTTCACACATACAGGCCTTGGATACCATGCTTGTGTTCAAAAGATAAATTTTGATTACAATTTCTAGGATTTTCACTTTGTTCAATATCGCATAGCGTTTACAGCATCGCTTTCAACATACTGCTAGGGAGGGAGTACAGGTGCAAACATAGAAACAAATTCAAACTTGTTTTCATCAAAACGTTATTTGCACGAGGGCAACGTTTTTGTATCAAATTGGAATTGCGTGTACCACCAACGTGCGTTGCAGTTGGCATCAAATCATTTCGATATTTGTTATTTCCGATTGAGATAAGATAGCAAGTGCACACCTCCCGTGAACCCCCTTTCCCGACATAGGGAGCCTGCACAGGTAAAACATACCTCAACTGATATCAGGTTGCAGCCTGCACCAGTATGCGGAACAGTCCATAGGAGAGTTTGTTGCTGTCTAGCTGTAACGAAAGTAGTTTCTACCAAAGCAGGTGTTGTGGTGCAAATAATTAAGGCTAGTATTTCGTTTTAACCTTAATTTTCGCAAGAAGAAGCCTTACTCAAAAAGACAGTGATTTTAAGCTGCTGTGACTTAAAACCGCTACTACTGCTACCGTTATTTTGAATCAATATGGCGGCAAGTCTGTACAAAGATCGGTTTCAAACTAGCGGTGACGATGGGTGGGTTACTAGTAGGAAATCTACTTCTGTGTCACGCCGCTCGAAAACGACAGAATTCCCATCAGGCCAGCGTCGAACGTATGAAGTAGAAACCAAAACTACGACTGATGGGGGATTAACTTCAACGACAACTACGGAAAAACGCTCGTCTATTGGGGATAATAAGTGGATACGTGCGCCGGCGGCTAAAATTGTCACAAGAAGCAAAACGGAGGCAATTCCTTCTATGAAATTATCATCGGTTGATTTTGGTGCAGATACACGTAAACGTGGAGCGCAAGACGACTTAAATATGAGAGAGACAGCGACTTCGGGAGCACCAAACGTCCGACAGTCGCGTGTGCATCAAAAATTTACGAAGATGTCAGAGCAAGCTTCGGCGCCCATATCATTTGGAGCGACGTTTGATGCTAAGAAAATTGTGCGAGAGCAAAAAGAAGCTGCTGAAGTTCCCTCATCCCAGCAAATTGCCTCAGCTTCTGCTGTTCAACAGGAGCTACAGCAATTTACACAAAAACACATGCAACAAGACACGCAACAAGGTTTCGGAGCTTCCTATGGTGCACCGGATAAGCAAAAATCCAGCATGAAGGTTACACTGACCAGTGTGAAGACAACGGATACGCCTGACCACCGCATTCAGCAGGTGACAACAACCACGTCCACTGATGGTCAAGTGACGCAGCAGCAGAGAGTTGCCAGGTATGGCAAAAAGGTAATGCCAGACATACCACCACCTAGCAACGCTTTAGGAGGAGTTTCCTATGGCGTTACTACGCAACAACAGGTACGTGCACAGCCTCCGCCACCACAGGCCCAGCCACAGGTAATGTCAACCGAGACAAGTTTACCATGGCAACAACGAACTCAACAAACCAGACAAATCACCCATGTCTCCGCCCCAGGACAGCAAGGCCAACCACCTCAGCCTCAACCAGTTACTCAACCACCAGCGCCACCAGCAGGCCAACCACCGTTGCCACCTTGGCAACAACAGCCACCACAACCAAGGATTCAACCACCCAGACAGGCCCCCGTTTCTCAGCCACAGATGACGGGCCAGCCGCCACTGCAACCTTGGCAACAGCAGCCATCTCAGCCATCTCAGCCAGTTGCCGGCCCCGGCAGAACTCGTGGAAAGGGCAGTGATATGGCCTGGATCAGGGCACCTTCTCCGGAGGAAACTGTATCACCAGCAACGTCCGCCTCTACAGCACAGGAAGAAGTGACAACATCAGTCAAAGCTACAAGACAAGCGTTTGCAGCGTCGCCTCCATCCGGACCAATGTCGATGGGAGCAACCTATTCGGTTGATATGATTAAACCAAAGAAGCCACGAGGGTATAAACCACCTCAATCTCCTGTTGCTGAGCCACGCCCAGCCCCTGAACTCGCCATGACATCTACTACATCAACATCTACCACTCCAATGTCTTATCAACATCAGAGACAGGTTGAACACGAAGAGAGGTTAAAGCAACAAGAGGAGCAGGAGCATCAAATGCGTATAGAACAGTTGCGACGACTGAGAATGCAGCAACAGAAACCCCAGGCTCAGCGCCAAGAACAAGTTATTACATTGCAGCAAAAACAGCAAGTAAGTCAAGTTCAGCCCCGTCAACCACAACCACCATCCCCACGACAAATGCCACCGTCCCCAACAGGTCAAGCTCCCATGAGTCCACCTGCCCAATTACCACCATGGCAACAGCCGGCAGGTCCACCCCCTAGAGCACCTATGCCACCACCGCCACATATCCTTCCCCCACATATAAGAGGCCCAGTGCCACCTCAGCAGTGGCAGCAAGGTGCACCACTCCCACCTCCTCAGCAACCCCCTGCTGCTGCGCCACCGGGAGTGCCTCGTGGTTATCGGCCTGTGAGGCCCCCTGTTCCGATACCACCTGTTGGGCCAAGTCAACCAGGTCCTGAAGTGAGGCCTGCAGGTGGTGATGCCAGGCCACCATGGATGCAAGGACAGGCAGCTCCTCCCCCACCAACAATGATGAAAGTTCAGCCGGCACCAGGACAACCTAGCATCCCTCCCCAAGGTCCCCCAGGTGCGCCTACGCCATTTAGACAGCAAGGTCCACCTCCTACTTCTCCACCGGCCCCTGTTTCACAACCAGCAAAGCCCACGCAACCCAGAGGACCCCCACCACCCCAACCCTCACCACAGCCTGCTCCTACACCAGTTATCAGACATGTGCCCGCACCTGCACCACCCGCGCCAGAAGCAGCTCAGAAACCAGCGATGGTTGTACTTAAACCTGCCATGAAGGCCACACCACAGCCACAACCTCAAACACAACCCAAACCAGAGCTGAAAAAAGTTGAACCACGAGGGAAACTTGGTGCAGCAAAGAACATATTTAGCGCAAATGCAGAACAGGCTCCAGTCTTTTCTTTCGGATCATCTTATTCGGCCTCTGACGTAAAAACTCAGAAGGCTGATAGAAGTAGATGGCAGCCAAAGACAAAACCTTTATCTAAACCACAACCAGGACAATCATACGCTCCTGAGCCTGCCTCAACGTCGGCGCCTGCGCCTGCTACCAGACCTGCTGAACAACCTACTAGTAAACCACAACCCGCTCCGGAAGTTGCCCCAAAGCCAGCTCCAAAGCCAGCTCCCAAACCTGCTGCCAAACCAGCGCCTGCATCACCCGTTATCCCACAAGTTGCACTGAAACAGAAAAAAGATGCAGGATGGATAAAACAAGCTCCTGTTACAGAGCAAGTGACATTGAAGAAGACATCAAGGGTTGAAAGAAAACAGGAAAAAGGCGGTCTAGAAACTGTTAGTCTCAAACCCCTGTCGCAAGACGAAAAAGAATTAGGGTCAATCAAAAAAGGAGTGAGTCGTGGTCTTGCATCAAAATTCCAAACGTCAGAAGCAACCCCTATCTCTTTCGGTGCTACATTCACCCCAGGCAGTTCCAGAAGTACCAGTAAACAAGAATCTAAAATAGTCCGAAGACAAGAGAAGACAACCTTTGAGGGTGGCCAAATAAAGAAAGACATCAAGGTAACAGAAACAAGCAGAACTGCATCAGACGCTGGGGTGAAAGAAACAACTAGGACAACAACGACAACAAAGGTCCAGGCGTCCCCTTCGTCGGCCGTACAAGAGAGATCTAAGACTGAAGTCCAAGTTAAGAGCTCTGCTGTTGGTTCCCGCACTCGTGATCAACCAGTTGAGATGGAGACAATCACTGTTGGTACAGTCGATCCTATTGTTTTGGACGTAGAAGAAGCCAAGAAATCTTCATCAAAAGTTATTCTATCACCGTCGCCGAAGGTGTCGGTTGACATTGCCCATCCCCTTGAACAAGCCACTTCGACAAGGAAAATCCTGAAGGTTACAACCCGCCATGGAGAGTTAGAGGAAGCTCCAGCAACACCGACTACACCAAGTACTCCTAAAACTCCTCAAACGCCTCCTCTGACTCCTCAACAGCAGAAGAAAAAGCTTGAGATGGAACAAAGAAGAGCGGCCCGTGCTGAAGCTAGGAGGAAAGCAGGGGGTGTCTCACAAGAAGTAAAGATGGAGACTGTCCAGGTCCAGCAGGCACCCACTATCCAAAGTAGTGGCCAGGAAGTAAAACAGGAGACCGTCCAGGTTCAAGAATCAGTGTCTGCGCAGAAAAGCCAGGAAGTCAGACAGGAAGTAGTCAAAGTTCAGGAGGCACCTGCAGTTCAGTCACAGCAGCAAACTCAGCCACAGACGACAAGCTCTTCCATGCAGGTGATCCAAGAACAGGTGCATATAACACCAGCGGCGGAGGTAAGCACAGGTGGTGAAGTCAAAGTCCATGGTGAAACGGTTCAGGTTCACCAGGATCAGGTAAAAGTTATGGGACAAGACACAGGGGGGTCGGCAGATTTCCAGATCCAGGTCGCTAAGGGCGGCGGGGAGGTAGCACAGTCCCAATCGGGGCAGGCTGGTTTTGAGATTAAGTTCCAAGGTGGTGACAGCAGTGGCAGCGGAGCAGGTGTGCAAGTGATGTCGACATCTGGCGGCGGGCAAATGCACGTACACAGGGAAGTCACAACGACCGTAGATGGCAAGTCGACAACTGCTGTGCAAGATAAATCGTTTGCAATTGAGCCTGGTACCATGGTAATGGACCAAGGGGCACGAGCTATATCTGCAGATGAATTCTTCTCTGCTGGTAAATCAGCGATGGATGAATTCGCCCAAGCAGCTGCCTCAAAAGTCCAAATTCAAGAACCGAAATCAACTGTAGAACAAGTCCAGACCCGCCAGACCATGTCGTCATCTGGAGACGGTCAAATGCACGTGCATAGAGAAGTAACGACGACCGTAGATGGCAAGTCAACAACAAGTGTGCAAGACAAAACCTTCGTGATCGAACCTGGTACTGGGGTAATGGACCAAGCAGCTGGTGAAGATGTAGAGAGCCACCAGACTATTGAAATTGAAGAAATTCCTGAAGATGAAGATAAATCCTATGAAACCAGTGAACAAAACGAAAGTTTCACGATTTCGATATAGATAAGCTCTTTCGGACTTCACCTGTTTTTTTTTTTGTATTTTGACTAGAAAAGTATCGCAAATCACATTTCATACCTTTACATTTTTGGTACTATATTTAGTATAAATACGATGTGAAGAAAATCAAACAGAACTGGTCTTCATGAATACTTTTTGAATTTAACCGAAACTGAAAATTTTGAAAACCAAAGATATGAAGTGCGGATCAAAATATAATTGGGCAATGGCAATGGTCTTACGTCTGCAATGTTGTTTGTTTGTCAAAATCATATTATGTACATTAATCTTCACATTTATCATTCAATGATATATTTATATGTTATAGCTTTTTATTTTTGCTCATCATATGGAACACGAGCATTTAAACACTATCCATAATCTTTTTTACTCGAATAACCGGAAATATTAAGAAAGTGAAAGGAAAATGGTGAACAAAAGTACTGCTTCTGTTATAAGAAACACTCTCATATAAGACTTTTATTCTGCCACACCAGCCAGTTAGGATTTCAAAATGAAAGGAGAATACATTGGCCAAAGTGAATGGATCTACAGCAAAAGAAAACCTTGGATGGCACAGGGATTGGATATTCTTGAAAGCGACGACCAGTAAAACGTTCTTTTGTAAGTATGATTTTTTCCAATTTCTTACTATAATTGATAATATTTATTATATAATGCAGTGTAGTATACCTGTGCAGTGTTTTGGGTACGCTATGTTGTTTAACATACACAAATCGAGGAATGTGTATTTCCTCCACGCTCATAAATTATGGTTTTGTACCTGTAGCGCCAATCAATTTACGGGCAGAATAACCTTCTAGATTCGACCTTCCAGTAGCGAAGTGCCTCTTTCATTCTCGAAGACTAATGGTTTCATCTGATAGCACGTTGAAACTTGAGAGCACCATATGGGAAATATCCAAATTTTCCTTACTTCTCTTTTATCTGCAATACCGATGTATTAATGCATCAACATATTGTTATGATCATATACATTTTATTGTATATCATTTTTAATTTGCTATAAACACACTTATCTCCTCTAGGATCTGTTGTTTCATAGAGATATTCATTAACTCTACGGCAATGCTTCGTTCTTTAATCGGTTTTTCATTCAATATTATTATAATTTTCCGTCTATATAGATACAGTTGGGTTGATATGGCGAGTGAAGCATAATATTTAGTAGATATTTTGTTGCTGTTACTCAACCCCGATGATGGATGACTAAAACCTTGCGTCTGCCTTCGTTTATGTACCCAAATATAGTTTCCCTCTGCAAGGCTCGCCAGCCGTATCTCTTATCACAAATCAAGAATTTCTAGGATCTTACTCAGCAAGACTAAAACACATTAGAGCCGCAAATGTGCTTATCCTGCAGCCACGCACCTTTAGCGAATTATTATGCCTTACATATCTGTGTAGGATCGCTGACTTTAGTTAGCTATAACTTATGTGTATAAAATTGTTAAACAGCATTAGGCACTGAGTATGTTTATATGGCTTCAAAATGAACCAAATTCATAGATTTGACTCAAATCATGGTCATTGTAAGTGGCGGGCTTCAATGTTTTGGGTTTATAAAAACTAACTTTTAGAGGTGGGGAAAATAGCCCGGGACTTGAATTTTTATCCCCCCCCCTCCCCCCCCCCGATCACCCACGAGAAAAATAATGGGACAACATATATAAGCCGAATATGTCAAGCAATGTACAATGTAATGGAATTTAGGAGTACATCTGGGAGGTTTATATATCAAATGTTGTGAACAGATGGGATTTATGTGGTTCAGTATGATAGCAGTTCACCTGTAGATTTTGCTGCTACACAGGTTAATTGGTTCGTTTTTTTGCATTTCAGTGCTTAGTATTCGAGAAGCCTGGCTGAGTTTCAAACTTTCATGAATGACCATGACTGGACGTGGTAATGGTAAGTTTTATATGTCTCTCATTTTTAGAAAATTTATGAAATAGTTTGCATTTAGTTTCTTAATATAAAAGTAATCGTCAAACAGAAGAGGCTCCGTTTAGCACAATATTGTGTTATGATGATTATTTTGTAAGTTTAAACATGACCCGAAATTTGGTCCTTGGTTGATTAATTACAAGTATAATTGCTTGCTGTAAGTTTTTTTATTTAATTTGTTTATAAATTTATTCATTCGTTTATTGCAAGCTTTCTTTTTCAACTCATTTTCCTAACGGAATACTAACTTTAATTATAAACATCTTTCTTGTTTTACTTTACTTTAGGAATCCGTCGCCTTTTTACTTGCTTTACTTTCCCTTTGACCTTTGCTTTGATCATATAAGTGAATTCCAGACTAGAACACCTAGTTGGAATCTAAGTGCTGTGCCGAATGCGTGTGAAACCATAGATATCACATTATAATCGGTATATTTTCCTTCTGGTATTAGGAATGGGAGTTGATTATTATCTGGAAAAACTTCGGTGCGTTTCGGGCTGTCTGGTGTACCGCCTTCTGTTGCCAAAACCGCAGGTATGCAATTGCTTGGCTTAACTTATTACCTTCGTATATTGTGGCCATGTTTGGGAAATCATACCGGCAAACGGAGTAGCGGTGTGTCCCAGCCTTGCGAGGTCTATAACCTATCCACTCGTGTAAAAAAAACCCTTCAAAACATGATGCAAACAAGCAGTGGTCTAGAGCAGGTGTTGTTCCCACATTTTCTGTGCCTCTTTAGTTGATCTTATTCATTTTCGACATGTCTTAAGCGCCCGCCAAATCCAACAGTATTGCACTTTATTCGCCGAGGCTATAAAATCCAATGATGAAACGAGATGTCTGATATTAAAAAAAAATTGGTGTGGAAAACGCATTTTGGGACAAAATTAGTAATAAAAGCTTGAATGAAGTAGGGCTTTAAAAAGTAAGAAACGAAAGCGGGATCATAATCCGTTATTTGAAGTATCTCGAGTCGCCCTATGCGCCCCATGGTGTACATGCGTCTGCAAGCATTACCTGGATGTGCAGTAGTTTTCACAGAATATTATATTGGTTTTGAGTTGGTAAAATCTGATATCTTTGTCTAGCACTGTCTGAATGGGAAAGGGTAGCAAAGTCGTAAACTTTTCCCCTGGCGCAGTTATATTTGCTTTTCTTGTTTTTGTCTGACCTTCTCTGCAATCTATTTTTCAGCGCTAGTGTGGGTGTGACAGGATAAGCTGCCTAACGCTGTGGATTATCGCAAGGAATACTTCAGTTCGCCATACTGTTGAGTCTCTAGCATCCACGACCAGGTATTTCCACCGAAAATTGCCGCTTTTGGAGGGTTACTCATTCTATCCCATCAAACGAACTATTTGTGAGATTCGACGGGTCTTTTACAAGACAGTCTTCAGGACGATAGAAAACAATGAACAGGAGGTGCTATTGCGATCAATATAACTGCCCCGAAATTCACCAAATATTTATTTCTGTTCTTGAAAACATTTCCGCGACGATGAAATAAAAATTCCATGTATCAAACGGTCACCAGATCCAATTACCTTAACATATCTCTGTTGAGCGTTAGTTTGGTAAAGCTAATAAGGATTATGCAGTTAATGCAGCCCATAGTTTGGGTATGAAAATGTGCTTCAATTGTTGCCCGACTATGAAAAATATGCTTCAACTGATGCCCGATTATGCTCAAACCAAAGACTTAAGACAATAGTGAAACAGTGAAAATAAGAAAAGATATAGTTTTTGCACTGCTTATGTTGTACATTAATTGCGGCTAATCCAACGTGATAATAAGTTCTTTTTATAATTCTTAAGTCGTTAAGTTTGATTATACGTGTTTTATTGTTATGGCATTGAATATTACATAATATGAATTTTATGAGATTTCAAATAATAGCTGCAGATATTTCAGTTGCTTTTTTGAATGATTGCAACTACAACTGTATTCTTGTAATTTCATATTTTTATGTGTATAATAAAAGATGTGCTTTCCATAATTACTGTTTAGAGAGAGAGAGAGAGAGAGAGAGAGAGAGAGAGAGAGAGATAGGGGGAGTGGGGGGGGAGAGAGAGCACCGAAGATGTTTTTATTGTCTAAAGGTTGAAAAGTCCGGCGCATGGCGAAATTTTAAAAAAATCCTTCATAGAGGCAAAGGACCCGCAACTGGCAATCAGACATTTCTTCTTGGAATGATTTTTTCGTCATTATCATTAGCCTACTATCATAAATGGAATGTGAAAAGAAAAGAAAATATACTTTCGACTACTATTAAAAGTGTTTTTATGACGTACTCGTGCAAATGCCAGGTGTCAACAGGCGATTTGTATGCCATTTAAGTAATTTCACGTAGGCTTTAAATACCTGTAATTGTAGGCCCCCTATTCATTTGCAATAGGCTAGATTACGCTCTGTCACGAATAGACTAGTAATAGGCCAAAATTCATTTAATTCTGAATCTAATTAATTTTACCGTAGGAATAAAAGCACCTCCATATAATGATTCCATAAAAATTTGCTTTTCATATGATTAGATAAAAAACATAATCCTGTTTGACGAGACACCAAGAACATCTGTTTTTCTGTAAGGTCGAAAATTTTACAACAAAAAGGGAGAAAGCCTCCTCCCCTCTTTGGATTAAACTATATCAAGTCGTTGATCTTGTGCGAACACTATTTGTTAGTTCTACGGTTGTCCTGTGGTATGTACTTTTGGTTGCACCATCTGTAAATAATTTGTTAGTAGCGAAAAAAAAGGCTTGTCTTGGTACAAGGAAACTCGTGATGTGTTATCGACAGCATGTTATCACACACACTGGCTCTGACAGCACGTGTTTTGACGAAAACGAATTTACAAGGTATATTTGGCATCAGTAACAATTTAAGAATTTTTTTCATAATTATATAGAATTTTTGTATATTGTCGAAGGTGCTGAACGGCTGTACTTTGTCTGCTAATTATCATTGTAAAGCTGCATTGAGAAATGATGCTTCGTTGGCGCGTTTAATCGCGGAAGTACTAGACTAGTACATGTATACATCATACATGTACATAATAAGTAACATGTACCTGTACGTGTAACGTTGACTTATGTTTTCTACAACTGGGACTTGCAATGTGTCACAGGAAACAGGTGGGATGACGAAAGAGTCTTAGCATGACTTTTTCTCACAAGTGCTAGAGACTTGAAAATTAGTACACAGGTAGCCACATACAGTGTATGTCATATCTGAGTATGAATTAAACCACGTGTATCTGCCCCAGATTAAATGTTTTATCAATCTCCAGTGCAATTCCATGTGCTGCTTGCCCTGAGCAACAAAACTATACTGATATATTTCTCTTGGTTTTGAGGTCATTGCTCTGGTGGCAATCTCTTCAAATACTGAAGGGTTCATTTTTACAGAATGTTGGGCATTTGTATGACTAGAATTGCTGAGTGGTGCCAGTCCTGGAAAATGTCCAGTATATTCTACAAGTAACCAATATGGTTTCTCTGAATTACACTTACTCTCATCTTGCATGTATTGTCCATTTTGAGGGTTCTAAAATTTCTTTGTAAGGTTATGACCAGATCTGATTGTGGTTGCCAAACTACCAAGTTTTTCTTATATTTCACTTGTTTTTCTATGTAGTAATTGGTCATTCTTAAATATATGTCACTTGACTCCACTTCCCACTTCTATATGCCATATTTGGTGATGGGGAGGGACTTGAAATTGTAGTTTATAGGACTGATAAAAAATCTATCAAAAACTTTATTTCATCCATTTACTTCTAAGTCTCTTTTACATATTAATTGCATTTATTTCAACTGTCCTATTTTTATTACAGTACAATGGATGCCTTGTGTAACTGGTTGAGGTCTAAGGACCCTCTCTTCAAAGTTGCAGATCAACTGCTGGGTCTGGCCAACTTTCCAGTAACTGGTAGAGGCATCATAGCCAAGGCACACATCCCAAAGGGATCACTTCTTCTGCAAATACCAAGAGAATTGTGCCTGAGCCAGGAGACGGCTAGGATGTATCCGCCCTTGAAGGACATTTTTGCTGCTGTACCAGAGCTTAGTTCAGATGATGTGATTGCCCTGTGTTTGATGCACCAGAGACTGCAAGGTGAAGAGGCACCTAACTATGAGCACATCCGCCTCATACCTGGGATAGACCAAGGGGCAGAACCTTATCAGCAGACTATATTCTGGACAGATGAAGAGCTGGATGAACTGAAAGGGTCAAAGATCTACACCATTACCAAACAACTTCATTCTCAGCTAAGATCAGACTATAATAACATTGTTGTCCGGGTGTTCATGAGATTCCCAAAGGTTTTACCTCTGAAGTCATATTCCTACGATATCTACTTGTGGGCACTGGCAACTATCTGGTCTCGTGCTATGGACTTTCAGGTGAATGATGAGACGGTGGGACGTTACATAGTTCCAGTGGCAGATATGTTTAACACTGATCCACACTCTGAGGTCTGTCACTTCTACAATGTGGCCAATAACACCATTGGTATCATGGCTAACAAAGACTACCAGGCCGGTGAGCAGGTGTTCATTAACTATGGGGAAGTCCCTAATGCTCGTCTGCTTCAGCTGCATGGGTTTACCATTGAGAATAACCCTGGTGAGGTGGTAGAATTGTACGCACCCTTAAGTCCTCAAGTTGAATGTTTTAGTAACAAACTTAGTCTACTGGGAAAAATGGGAGTAAATCCTAACCAGCCTCATTTACTTTCTGCATCCACACCACTTCCCCCCAAATTGCTTCCATCATTAAGGGTTCAGTTTGGGACAGAAGACATCCTAAAGAAAGTTGAAAGCGAGGCACTGTCATTTGACAGCAGTGTAGACCCAAAATATGAGGGTGAAATCCTGAAGTTCCTGGAGTCCGGGATACAGGGGATGCTGGCACAGTATCCTGCAGACTCTGACACAGATAGCGAAGAAATGGGAGATGGTAGTCAACCTCAGTCTAGAAAGAAAATGGCTGTTATTTTGAGGCATGGTGAAAAAGCCTTTTTAGAGAAATCATTGAAAACTGTGCAGGAATTGCTTGAAAGTCTGTGAAGACTGACTGATTATGTCCAACTTTGAACCCAGACATTCTGAAAAGAATAGTTAATGTCATCTTATAAATAATATTTGGGGAATTTACTGCCAAATCATATTGCCTAAACAGTATTCTTTGGAGCAATTTGTAATTTACAAATTCTTGGATTAACTTAAAAGCCTTATTTTTAAAAAATCTTTAATGTGTAGAGTTGTTTGTTGCTGGCAGTTAGCAAGGGAGTTATGAAGGGGTAAACAACAAACATCATTTTCCAGTGACAATAATCCCTGGCATACGAATCATGACAACACAATAAATAATCTTTAATAATAATGTTTATTAATATTGTAGAAAATGTTTATTTAATGTTATTTAGGTGGGATTTGTAAACAAATTTCTGCAAGTCTCAGAATAGGTTTATCTCAATTTTCAATAAGTGGAATTCGTCTGTACTGTGAATAGGTGCTCAATATAAACAAAATATTAATTTAAAAAAATTAAAAAATTAAAATTAAAAAAATACCTAAAACATGCATCTTATGCATTGTGTTTTTTTTAGTAAGATACGTAGTGTCTTTTCATGGCATAATTACATATGAAAAACCTACAAAAATACTTATTACATAAAAAAATACCAAGTTATTACAGGTAATATTCACATACAATAAAATGGCATTAAGAGCAGGACTACTAACTCCAGCTACTGAGAGAATTTCAAGAAGTGAAAATTATCTAATATATTTCAGAGAACTGATAATTTACCTAGAGAACCTTATTTTTAGGTAAATACATAAATATAAGAAATGTTTTAAATTTGGAATAACCCAGCTAATCAGATGATTTTTATAATCATGTAAAAATATCCAAATCCTAATAATTTTGTTGAATTTTTGCATTAACTCATCTCATTTTAAACAATATAAGAAGTTGATACTACTTTCTGTTCTGTCATAAATCAAATCTTAAGCAAGCATGTCTACATTAAGTTATGTGGTTTGTAATAATATTTTAATTAAGACATGAGAAGCATGATGGAAAAGCTGAAAATATCGAATTGATTTGTGGATTCTTCCAATATAAATGTTTTTGTTACCTGAAAGCATGTTCATTCCTTGTAGAGTACTGTAATTTGGGAAAATCTTCAGGCCTACAGAGTACTAAATAAAGTAGTCATTCTATGGAAGATATACAGGTTAATACATGACAGGGGCAGGATCCTTCTTTACAATAAACTACAATTTCAAACAAAATGAAATGGCACTGAACACAAAATGACTGATAAAAGTCCAACGACTAAAAGCAGTTTTCCTCACAAATGACTAGTGGAAATCAGCACCTCTAAATAAAACTGATGAAATAATAAGGAAAAAATCTCAAATCAAACCACAGTATTTTGTAATTTTGACTAGCCATTATAGGTAAACCAATAAAACTATATTGTTCAGTGCAGTAATAAGTTCTGTGTTTGGTGATTCAGAGAAAAAAGGTGTTCATGCGTCAATGGACCCTTTTCCCATAAAAAGTAAAAAATTGTGTCAAAAAACATATATTGAGTGTACTGATTTGAATAATGCTACAGCCTTAGCTTGTACTACTTTTAAAAATGGATACAATATACATCTTGAAATATAAGAAGCAAACTCACCTCATCATATTTTGAAATACAATTAATTTCAGTTTAGAATAACTGTTAAACATGATATTTGCAGCAGTAATGTAGATTTGTTTCATATCTTTATCGCAGAACACATAAGTGGCCTTAAACGGCCAATTCCTCATGAGAAAATTTTCACAGCTGGCATTCTTTTTCTTGTTGCTATTTAGCAAAGCAATGATACAGCTTTAAAAAACATGAGCTGGCAGCTTTTGGTTACCTACAAGCATGATATATGACGCGAGTTGAAAAACCTGCACATTATGAGGGTCTACCAATATATTAACTTTGTGCTTCGATGTAGTAATTCCTGAAATCACACAAAGATACTACAATATCCCCATTTAATAGTACTCGAGCCATTTCACATCAAGTGACATGCTTAACTAATCCAGTTAACTTCTCAGGTCCTAACATGTCTATATTTACTGGGGGTTAAATTACTGCCTTTCATAAGTTCTCCACAAGCTCTCTGTGCAGTTAACTGGTTGACTGTGTCCAGTACAGAGTCTCCGTTAAGGAATCTCCCTTACAAGACTGTGAGCACATTCAGAGCAGCAGACTAACAGATCTGCAGATCAAATATAGCAACCCACTAAAAAGCTTGCTGCTTAATTCCCAATTAGACACTGAATAGATTCCCCAATTATGCAGCAAGCATTCAAGTGGGTCAGCCATATTTGATCTGCAGATCTGTTAGTCTGCTGTTCTAGAAGCACTCTATGATCGCATTCACAACGAGTTGAGCCNTCCAGGATTTGTAAAGCCATGGCTCAACTCGTTGTGAATGCGATCTATGAAGTTGTCTATCTCTCAAAGTGGACTGGTACAGTTCAGTATAACCCTTGACGTGAAAAAGCCTTTTTCTAAACTTAACAAATCTTTATAAATTCCACAGACTAGCCTAAAAATACTGCATCACATTTTTCTTTCTAAAAAGAAAGAAATACTTAGCACCATATATTCAATCTTTAAAAAGTTCGTCTACAAATTGAAAACTTAAGCTTTGAAATAGCACAACAGTGCTATCAAGTTCTCACACATTTTATGTTTTCAGTCCAATTATCCAGTATCTTCATAAAAATCTGAAAAACAAGCAAACCAATGTTGATACAAAATATATTGTAACATTTCATTCATTCATTTGAATACATATCAATTTTCCATAACTATATTTGACACCAGTTATGTAATTATTGTTCTTGTTTATAATAAACAAGTTAACATCCATCTTCTTTTTATATTATATTCAATTTTACAGATGCTTTCAGATATGTTCACAGATACAAAATTTACATGAAGTTAGTTATGAAACATAAAACCTTCAATACATTTCCAGTTCTTAACTCTTTCTTTACCTTCTTGTTCCAGCTCTGCTGTTTCCACATTCTGGTATTCCTCACCAGCAGATCCACTGAAAGTATACATTTAACCAGGTCTGAAACTCAAGCTATGTGTTTGGTTAGGAAAAAATAAAGCACACTGAAATAACAGGGAAATAGTTTGTTGGATTCATTTTGCAGATTTATATGGTCTTTATGGGTGCCTTTACTAAGAAAATATCGTACTAGGTAATTCAAATTACTCTATGGGGACTCTTACTGAATGCAATCAGAGAAACAGATTACCAAACCTCCTCCTGGCATTGAGTAGAATACTGAAAATCTGGTGATTACAGGAGTATAATGGAAACAAGAAAAGGCATGTTAATCTGTTTATCTGTTAGTGTTAACTACTTACTAGTACAATGATAGTTCCATTGTAAACACACCCTATGTTAAAATGAAAGGCTTACAGAAAAAAAAAAAAAACATGAATACATGTGCTTGCACACATTCATGCACAAATACACATAGCCACTTGTGTGTGTGTGTGCAGATTAAGATTCTGAAGAAAAATTGAAGTTACCCTGAACTTTCTGTGGCACTGGTAGTACTGCTGGCAATACTTAGATTGTAAGCACTATCCACATTCATCTGCATGGTCTTTTTATATAGATGAAAAATAAATTAAAATCAAGTTTTAGTTAACTTATTCTAATGTCAATTACAGAGAAATATTTTAACATTACCACTAATTACCAAGTTCAAAATTCTTTCCTGATAGAAGCTGCGCTAACTGCTAAAATACAGAACCAGACACTGTCACTATGGGGTAGCTTTAGTAAATGTTTTTTTTCACCAAATCATTTTTAACAACTTTACTTCAAATATATATATAAAAACAATCCAAATTTCCCATTTTTCCTGATTCAAACAATGCTTTTTAGTAATAACAAATCTCTTAAGCATTAATAAGTGAAAGTTCTACACTAGTATAAACCCTTCAACTAATAATGAGATATGTTCAAGTTTTTAAACCTTTCAAAAGTACAAGTTTAACATGATTAGATAAGCCTATGAGTTAAAAACACCTGGAATAAATATTTTATTTACCAATCACAAAGGAGACATTTTTATCACTCAATATGGAATATTAGAATAAGACATTCAAAAGATCCTGTGCTAAACAATTTTATCCATTTTTAAGACGAAATAAACATTTAACAACAAGAACATTTCATCATGCACTACAATATGAAGAAAACTAATTGACAATTTATGGAAATAAAAATTGTGCAATCATACAGGAGGATGAAAAAAATTCATGATAATAATAATAAAATATTTCTTACATTTCTGATAGACTCTGTATCTATGTCAATACTGCCAGAATCCACATATCCCACTGGAATAAAGCAAAAATGAGGTATTAATGTAAATAATAAAATGTGTTGAAAGTCAATGTGCCTCAAGCACTCAAACTTTTGACTTCAAGGTTAAGATTTATATCCTTTTTTAAGTTTTAACTTAAAAGAAACAAACTTAACAAAAATGATAAACTAGCCAATAACAGGGAAAAAACATGCCGTGATTATTACATTATTTTTCCCTCAATATCATACACAAAAAGTATCACTTCATTATTCTTTGCAGTCTGCAATTTTGTATAATAAAATGTAAAAAACAAATTCTTCCAATAAAATAAAATTACACCATAAATGAAGAGACCTTCTCAAGCAGACATAATACAGATCAAGTGCCTCATCATGCTAGAAAATTGTAATACTTCACTCTGTACAACCTACAATAACTCTTTTGAAAACTGAGTGAAGTTTTCTGCTTTATCTTCAATCAAAGCAGGGAATGGTAGGTTTTGACTACCATTCTATTAAGTGTGATCAATTCTCATTATCTCTGGACCCTGTTTCACAGAATATGACTGATGTTGAAAATCAGTCTTAGCAAAGATCTCACCTAACCAAGCTGCATCTCCCATAAATGTTTTATCATTATTCATTATTATTATTATTATTTCATTAATTTATTAATCAAAAAAATTTTTTGAGGTCTTTACATTACAAAGACATGTTAAGGTGAGTCAGCTACATCCAATGTGGGCATCAGTCATTCAGAAACTGTTCTCAAATTATTATCAGTGTTGGCTTATATTACCAGCTATCCACTTAGTAAAACAGGCCTAAGTGTTACACTGACCAAGCACAGTGAATAACGGTCACATTCTTCCATGGCTACTGTATAAGAAATATGATTTTACTGACTGTTATCATTACAGTTCTCATGATAATGAACGCAGGCCAAGAGGTTGGGAGATCAGGAACTACAAAAGAAATACTCTATTGGTTGGAAAAAGCAAATTCGGGATCAAAATTTGATTTATATTCTATAGCAGGTTGAGTCAACAAAGGAGGGTAGAAAGGTCCTCATTTACAGAAAAAGACTTTAGAAATGTTGGCTACAGGCCTGTGATCATACATTAGTACCTTTTCCGTGAATATCCTTTGCCAGCCACTTTCCTGCAGGGTTGTTTTCCATGCGAATAATAAACACCTTATCATTTTCAGCAAGAGCCAGATTCTTTTTGTCTCCCTTTTGTGCAGCCATAACAGTACCAGAGTTAATGACAGTTTCTGTGCCAGTGAGCTAAATACATTGAAAGTGGGGGAAAATAAGGTACACAAAACTATAATTAATTACAATGAAAATACAACAAGATGCTGGGAGGTGAAAAAATACTCATTTTTATGCACAAGTACTGTATACAAGTTTTAATAAGTAAACAATTTTGCTCGGAAGCAACGTACATGTAAATGCTTCATTCTGAAGATAGTCACAGTGTAGTACATAATTTGATGTCTATAATCATATTTCTCAAAAAGTATTGCTGGACAATTGAAATTTTACAATTTCTTTGTCAAAATTGCATACAGTACCTGGTAAAAAATAAGAAAAGACAAAGCAATTACTGCTTAAAGTAGCACTGTCAACACAACTGATACATGGGGTCATCATTAAGGTCACACAATACAAGTACAACAAACTTTTGTGGCATGCTGTTAAAACAACCTTAAACAAAGCCTGAACAAATTCTGAAAAATATTTGGATAAAACATCAAAGACAACAAAATGCATATCATCAAGTGACATCAGTACTGTTATTTAAATATCTATGCAACACTTACATTAAACCTAGCATGGAGTTCCTTCAGTATTTTATGTTGCCGTTTCTGCTCTTTCTCCTCTTCTTTGTATTTCTTGATTCTATTCTATAATAACAGAAAATTGCTTTGGGTGACCATTAACTCTGATTACCAAAAACATGAATGAAGTTTTGGAAAGGATCTTAGCTACTTGAAAAGATAACAATTTTTATGATACTGAATTCTTATTGTTTACTTTGTTTATTCTAATAGTTCACATGGAATATTTTGAGATAATTCATTTAACTTTCCTAACTTAAATGGCTGTGTGTCTGGAAGTAGATTGTTTACTTTTATTTCTTTGATACCACCTTCTGAAAAACAATACATTTCTATTTTCTGTGCATTTATATTATCAAAGCTGTGAAAAGTGAGGAGTATTTTGAGAATTTGTGACATGTATAGTACACTATTAGCTACTCATGCTCATGTATCATAGAATGGTCCATTAAAGTGGGTAATCCATAAAAAACATTGTTTGACTCTTACCAAGAAATTGCTTTTTTTAAAAAATTTTTGGTTAATTTTCACAAATTCAAACAAATAATTTTAAAGTGGTGTGGAGCAAAAAGCAGGACTTATCAAGGGAAAGAGAAGCCAAGTTTGTGCAAAGCTTAAGAGTATATCTAGACATATCATGTTCATCGTGCATAAGAAATTGCCACACAGGAAACGTGTTTAAGGGCCAACCAATCAAAATGAGTCACAGTTACATGTATATAAAAACAGATGCTTCAAATTTTAGGCAAAATAAACATTAAGGGACATCATGTACATCTCACAGGAAAGTGTAAAATACCCTTTATCTGCAAATTAGATCCTTGAGTAAGAAAAGGTGAAAAAGCTTTTTATATTGTTTTCTTCTCTTGTTTAAACAAATATTTGCCTACCTTCATCAAACCTAGTCTGGACATATAAGTCTAACCGGGTTAGAAAAAAATGAATAACAATATTATTTTACACAACAAAAAAGCAGTTTCTAAATATGATTTTTTAAAGACCATGCTGTCCGTTTTGTTTAAAGTTGTGAATCTAAATAACTAAGGCACATACAACAAAAATAAATTTCAGTTAATAGATACTTACCTTTTCTTTCTTTTTGTTTTCTTTGTCTTGTTTTTCTTTGCCCTTCTTTTCTTTTTCTTCCTTCTGTTTTTTCTGTTCCTTTTCTTCCTTTGGCTTCGTCTGTTCTTCCTCCTGTTGTTTTTCTGCTTCTGTGGTTCTAGAAAAATTATCACCAAAGTCAAATACTGTGTAAGTTAAAAAACATTTGATCTAGAAAACTTGGTGCAAAATTCAATTATGTTATCCAATAATTGTAAAAACAATTTTCAGTTGCAAACTTATGAAAATTTTACTTGGAATAATACTGTGGTTGTTTTCTTTGAAATCCAGCTAACATTTTCTTATCACTGAGTTTAAATTTTAATGTTTACATCTTTAAATAGTAATGGGGGTATGCGCCTTAGGGCATTTTCATACATAAATGACATCACAAACCTCTCCATGCCATCAAGCTCTTCATAAATTTCATCCATCTCTCCTTCAATGACAGGTGCTTCAGTTTGCTTAATTACGAAATAAAAAATTTAAACAACGCATCTTTCTCGTATTTACAATCCTATTTTCACATTCAACTGCTCCTTTTAAATATGCAGTCTCAATATATGAAGGCTTGTAAATGCTTTAAGATCACTTAATTATAATATCAATTTATTAATTACTTATGTTATGAAAGATTACATGCTATACTTGGAGCATGTATTTGAAAAAAATTTTTAAATGTATATAATACATATATGATTCAATTTCATCCATAAATAAATATAATAGTCACAACAACAACAACAACACACTTACATTATCATCATATGGTTCAAATTCTTCTTCTGATTCATCTAAAAGGAATTCACACTAACATTTATTACACAAAATATGGACAACAAAATATATTTCATTCTTTTATACAAAAAGGTCATTTTATTTTTCTTGCCTTGCCAGATTTATAACATCATTTTTGACAGGCTCACGTAATCTCACATTGTGAATTCATAACAATCCTACGTATCAGGTACACTGAGCATTAGTATACAAATATAAATCCACTATATACCTTCTTCTAAGATTGTGTCTCCTCTCCCACTGTGGAAACTTATAGGTCCAGCACTGCCCCCATTGTCTTCACTGCCGTCTACATCCTGGTAGATCTCATCAGGACCCAAACTGTCTCCTAGCTCTTCCTCTTCTTCCAAGGTTGGGCTGAAAATTGAAAAAGAAAATAATTACATAATTGATTAATATATTGGATATGACAAAATACTACTCTACTAAAAGTGGTCTATCACTTACAATCTATACTCTATACTCTAAACTCCCCCTTTCAGCTCTAATTTCCCTTTTTAAAACTCAAAAGTTACCGTAAATAAAATACAATTTTCTGGGCATGATATAGGTACAACAGGATGTTCCTTACTACCACTGACTGTCCAATAAGGCAACTCATACTAAATTTTAAACTACCATTGAGAAAATTCTACCTTTCCTTTTCGTCAATTCAAATTTGGTCACCACCAAAATATAACTTTTATGCCAAACAATTACAACTATGGTTCTACAACAAACATGTTATTTTCTTACATTAATGACACTGGTCTGAAGGAATCTGCCTCTCCTACATCATCATAGACTTCATCTGGGCCCAGTTCTTCTTCTATTTCTGAAATGCAGACAAAACAGATACATACTTTTAAACAGGAATCAATATATCTTATTACTGTTTTAGAACCTTATGAAATTTCGACATTCAAATTTTACATTCTAACAAATTTATAAAACCTATCTATTCTACAGATTTATGAACCCATGCTATACTATGTACTGTGCCTGTGCAGGTTTCACACAACGTCTTCAGCTGTAAAATGAAAACAACTGACAACAAACAACACGATTTGCATTTTCTTTTTTTAAGCAAAACAAAACAAAACTGAAAAATCCACGTATTACAAAAATTCGTTTTCCCTTGCAGATCAAAAGTAATATTGTCACAAACTTTGAAAAATCTTTTCACTCACAAAAGACATTTCAATGTGCCATCTGTCATCTTCATCGGTCTCCATGCAATATACAGGTGGCGTGGTGTCACTGCTCAAGAATACTCAGAGCTGTTTCCTCCCCTAGTGCTGACTTAATGACACTATGCCACCTCTGTCACATTCAGACTGATGCAGATGGGCAATTTCATATTAAAATATCTCTCATAAGTAAAAAGATTTTTGGTAAGTATGTGATAAAAGAACTTTTAATCTTTATTATTCACAAAATTAATGGAACTTTTCAACATCACTGTTTTTCTTTTTTCTTTTTATTTATTTATTTATTTATTTATTTATTTATTTATTTATAATTTTTTTTTTTTTGGAGGGGGGAGGGATGTCCCAAGCATAGCATACAAAAGATATCAATATTTTCATTGATAAATGTACTAGTAAGTACATTCAATTAATACAGAGCACGCCACCTGTATTTTGCATGGAGACCGATGAAGATGACAGATGGCACGTGGATTTTTCAGTTTTGTTTTGTTTTTCTTAAAAAAAGAAAATGCAAATCGTGTTGTTTGTTGTCAGTTGTTTTCATTTTACAGCTGAAGACGTAGTGTGAAACATGCACAAGCACAGTGCATAGTATAGCATGGGTTCATAAATCTGTGGAATAGTTAGGTTCTATAAATTTGTTAGATTGTATAATATGAATGTCGAAATTTTATAAGGTTCTAAAACAGAGATACATCATTCAACTATAAGCTGAGAGGCATACAAAAACGGCTATGACTTGGGTACCACCGGGAGGCAAGCGCAAACAAAGTAGACCGAGGATAACCTCGAGGAGAACCTTCCAGAATGACCTGCAAAGAGGCATCATCAGGTGGGAGGAGATAGCGAGGGCCGCTGCCGACCGGACAAGTTTGAAAAAGTTTGCCGCCCAATGTCCTACGTTGGACAAGAGGACCTAAGTACTAAGTAAGTACCTTTAGAAGACCAAACTATTTTCTTTCCCTTCTAGAACAATCACATGATGAAATAACCCACATCACGGTCATGTTTTTATCTCTGCAGCTTAGACTGGGTTCCCATAAACCCATCATGCTAGCTGGATCGATCTAACTCTGAAGGGATTTTCGCTAAATTGCATTCAGTTTCAGCAGCTTATGTCTGTCACGCCCACTGAAGCTGCTAGGGGGTAATTAACTATCATCCACACTTAAAATAAATACAATTTGGTAAGAGTCCCCTCAGAGATAGATCGTTCCTACTAGTACAACAGGGTTATGGGAATGGTCCTTTAGACAGATAAGCATTTACAATGCTTCACATTGTTCTGCAGATAAGCAATTGGCTAGAACATTCAAGTGCAAAGTCTAAGATCTATGTGACTTATATTATTCAAAACAATCAGGCACTATTCAGTTTAAACTTCCCATAGCTCTTTTTGTCTAATTTAGATCATTAGATATTATCTACAAAACACAAAAATAACAAAACACATTAATATTGAAGCTTTCCTGCCTGGCTCCACACCCTGAAATTAGTCATATTCCATGAAGAGGTACTCATGTTGACAACTGCATTGTTTATTCATTACAATCCTATATTAAGGAATGAGGAAGTAGAACACGGTTCATTACTTGGCAAACAGTACATGTACTCAAAAGGATGCTGCTTGTATTTTTTCAACAGCTAAATGGAACTTCCTACTAATTGTCAGGACTTCCCTTTTAATTTAAATTTCTATGTTGCATTCCCAATTCTTTCTGTTAAAAAAAGACATCTATAGTTACATGCATTATTATTTTAAAGGATCCAGTTGAAATATTATTTATATAGATCTAGATCATATCACTCGAGCGATCATGAATATTTCAATATGTTAGGTTCACCCAGGCAGGGAAGCATGAAGTGAGAGATCAGTGTCAAGCATGCCACCGTAACAATCACACAGCTAATCAACAATTCAACACTCCATGCAAAAAGCTCGGCAAAATATAATTATCTTAACATTGCGAGAATATTGAGCTATCAGCTTGCAGCCAAATATCAGTTCTGCCAACAGACAATTACTGTAGGTCTCAAAATTTTAAACACCATGCATGACTGCAATTCTTGCAATGACAACATCAAGTTAATATGCTTATATCAATTAAATGTATCACCAACAAACCTTTTGGCAGACTCGGAAGGCGTCGTTTGTTAATTTCTTCTCTTTCCCTCCTTGTAACTTCATCCTCAAATTCCCTGTGCTTGCTATGGAGCTGAACATGGTCTAATCTTGGTGGCTTGGCCGGGGGCTTCACACCAATTGATGCAAAGGAAGGAAGAGCAATAGACTCATAACTGTCTCCCTCTGAACCATTAGAAATATTATTTGAGCTTTGATTCTCATCAGTTTTTGTTTCTGCTGCACTCTCACATTCTTTTGGCTTTTTGTAAGATCTTGTAACTTTTGGTGGGANCAATTACTTATGTTATGAAAGATTACATGCTATACTTGGAGCATGTGCTTGAGAATTTTTTTTAAATGTATATAATACAGATATGATTCAATTTCATCCATAAATAAATATAATAGTCACAACAACAACAATAACAACACACTTACATTATCATCATATGGTTCAAATTCTTCTTCTGATTCATCTAAAAGGAATTCACACTTACATTTATTACACAAAATATGGACAACAAAATATATTTCATTCTTTTATACATTTTATTTTTCTTGTCTTGCCAGATTTATAACATCATTTTTGACAGGCTCACGTAATCTCACATTGTGAATTCATAACAATCCTACGTATCAGGTACACTGAGCATTAGTATACAAATATAAATCCACTATATACCTTCTTCTAAGATTGTGTCTCCTCTCCCACTGTGGAAATTTATAGGTCCAGCACTGCCCCCATTGTCTTCACTGCCGTCTACATCCTGGTAGATCTCATCAGGACCCAAACTGTCTCCTAGCTCTTCCTCTTCCTCCAAGGTTGGGCTGAAAATTGAAAAGGAAAATAATTAAATAATTGATTAATATATTGGATTTGACAAAATACTACTCTACTAAAAGTG